GTGGTGGAGTCCGGGGACCTGAGTCCCAGAGTAGGTGAGGCTGCAGGGTGGGGAGCTGCAGGGAAGGCTTCAAAGCACAGAATGAACACTTGGAGGAATCACAAGCAACCCCTTGATTTTTTTGGGGGTACTGGGAATTGAACCCAGGGGGACTCAATCACTGAGCCCCCTCCCCAGCCCTAGTTTGTATTTTATTTAGAGACAGGGTCTCCCTGAGTGGCTTAGAGCCTCACTCTTGCTGAGGCTGGCTTTGAACTCGGGATCCTCCTGCCTCAGCCTCCCCAGCCGCTGGGAACTCCTTGATTTTTGATGGAGTCGTGTTCAGATAAACCCAAAGTTCAAAGTATTGTAGGTTAAACATGCATTTACTGTGCCCCAGTCAGCCTCAGGATCCCAGGATTGGCTGGGAACCGTGGCCAGCTGCCACTGCCCGGCATCTTGAGAGTGGATCCAAGCACCTATCCCCAGCTTGGGAAAAGGCCAAAATTCAAAATATGAAGTATGGTTTCTGTTGAATGCATATTGACGTTGCATTATCATGAAAGTCAAAAAATGTGAACTGGATCGTCTTGAGCTGGGCACGGGTGCTCTAATTTATAATAATGACAATAGCAATGACCTGAAGCTGTATGTGTTTCCAAAGCCTCAGTTTCCTCATCTGGAAAATGGGCCAGAGGATACCCCCCACCCCCACTGCAGAGCTGCAGCCATACGTGGGACAGTCTGTGACAAGGCTGGGCACCGTTACGTAGTAAGTGCCCAATAAATACATTAGGGTGCCAGTAATATTAAGCGTGCGTTTATTAAGTACTCACTGCATGCCGGGCATTGAGCGGGGCGATGACTGGGAACAGTATGTGTCAGGTGGCCCTTGGTGTGTGTGGGTGGCCTTGGGAGAAGCCGTGCATGGAGAATGGTCAGCAGCAGAGGGAGAGGCCTGGGGACCTGGAGAGAGGGAGGCGAGGGGGGCAGGAGGAGCCTGGTGGACCCCGGCTACAGCCAAGGTCACTGCTAACAACAAAATAAATAACAACACTGACCTCGCCTCCTTGAGCCTCTGTGTCCCCAGCTGAAAATGGGTGTGACCATGTTGGGATCCTGTAGGGCTCTTGGGTGACGTCAGAGTGCAGCTCGTGGCTGGCTGCCCAGGAAGTGCTCGGTGAAGTCACCTTGTCCTTCATCCCTCCATCTGCCGGACGGTATTCGGGACCCCGGGCTGAGGCATGTAAGATGCTCATTGGGGACAAAGGGTGACAGGCCCCTTTTTTTTTCCTCCGCATTTCTTCTTTGCCTGTAATTGTTTATAAAGAGGGCAGAAGTGACCCTCTGTGATTTCCAAACCCTGAGCCTGAGGGGACATCACAGGAGAACCTGATCCCTGGAGCACTCTCGCACACAGGCCAGGGCTGCTCTGGGACACGTCACCGTCCCGAGGCCACCATGCTGGGAGCAGGCTCAAGCCACCAGTGCTTTAGAGGATCGAGTCAGAAAAATAAAACAAGACAACACAGACCAGTGGGTGCCCACCATTGGCTCTGGTCCCAGGACGTGGTGCTGAATAAGACCCAGTTCTTGTGCTCAGATGTCCTGCCGCCTGGTCAGAGGTGTCCCCTGGCCATGGTCACATAAATAACTCCTGACTCGCAGAGGTGAGCAGATGGGGAGTGCGCTGGCCTCCTAAGGCTGCTCCGCCAAATGGTCACTAACGGTGGCTCTGCTGTCAGCCTGGCTGTGACAGATAATGTGGCTGCTGGCCAGTGACTCCCCTCCCTGGACGTGTGTCCCAGACCTCAGCCAGATTGTCCCCAAATCTGGGGAGGGTGCATTCCTTGAGAGGTTCAAACGAGCGGAACAAGAAGGAGAGTGTCCCCAGAGGGTGGAGCCGGGGACCCTGCAGCATCAGGAAGGATGTGAACAGGCTCAGAAAAATGTGCTTGGCTTTCTAGAAAGCCCTGTGGTTAAGTGCTAAGGTCGGGGTTAGAGCAACCTGGATGTGCATCTGTCCCTGGCTGACCCTGTGACATGGGCTTCCCTTCAACGGAAGCGACAGCAGGGTCACCCCTGGGTTGCATGAGCTCATGCAGCCGAGCATCCTCCGTACGTCTGGGCTCTGGTGTGCACCCCACCAACTCTGTATCACAAGGAACTAAAACCAATAGAAAGCCTCATCCGGGGCAGACCAGAGTCCCAGCCAAACCCAGGCAGAGGCTGGAGGCCAGCAGCAGTGAGGGAACAGCTGCCTTTAGCCTGCAAAATCCACTCCGAGCTTCCTTGTAGCCACATCAAAAAGGGAACAGCGGATCCGTCGCAGGGTCTTGCGTTAAGAAGAAAGAGGAAACAGTTTCAGTGTCTCAGGAGACACAATGTTGTCCTTGACCAGGAAGAAAGAAATGGCAGCGCCATGGATCAGGAATCACAGAGCTCGGCAGGTGTCATGTGGAACTTGGGGTACAGAGGAGGGAAGTCTGAGAAGGTGGCTCAGGGAAGGATCCCTGTGAGGGCCCCAGGAGTGGGCAGAGGGTCCTGCTTGGGCTCAGAGTAGGTGGGATGTGGGGGCTGTTAACCCTGCAGGGAGGCAGGGGAAATCTGAGCCTTTTCACCTGGGATCTCTAGAAGTCAGATTCTGGAGGCAGACCTCCCAGCTGTGTGACCTCAGGCAAGTGGCTTCACCTCTCTGATCCTCAGTTTCCTCATCTATGAGCTGAAGTTATCCCTGCAGGGCCATTCGGGAGTACGGCATGGAGTCTTGCATATAGTGAGCACCCGAGTAGTTGTTAACCACGTGTGCGCACATATTCTGTGTATATAATCACGTAGACTTCTTTCATAAGCTTGGTGGGATACAAGTGACTAAAATGTGCTATAGCTCTTTACAACGAAGACTTGTCCAAAGAGTCATTGTCATTGCGTGTTGCTCCCAGCAACTCGAGGGACGAGTCCTTTACCTCCATCTGAGAGGCTTGGCTTTGAGAAGCAAAATCCTTACTCTTGTCCCTGATCTGCCTTTGGACTCAGAACCGGCATGACAGGAGGGCAGGAAGGTCCCCGTCCTCTGGCCTCGCAGCTGGCCTTCTCCTCTCTGCTCAGATGAGAGACAGTTCAGGGAGTCGTTGAGAAGCCTGAGGAATTAATAATAATAACCAGCACTCGACGGCGGCCTGCGAGGGGCCCTCCTGTCCAAGGATTCCGTATCCGGGATCGGAAATATTTTGGAAAAACAATTGCATCTCCACTGAACATGTCATTCCTTGTCCCCAGACCATTCAGCGTATTTAGGCCGCATTTGCCTTGCGTCCTGTCTCATAAGTAATTCAGAGGTAACTTGAAGGACGTGGCTGGGCATCGCCATCTTTACAGGGTCCTTGGTGCCTGGGGATTTTGAGAAGCGGGGGAAGGGCACGTCCCCACAGAGGAAATGAGCCCACTCGACTCCTGCTGGAGGGAGGGGTGAGGGGTGGACAGACAGACGTGCCCAGAGGCTGTCAGGGGAGCTGTCAGGGCCTCTGTGCCAGCCCTACTTGACCCTGACCCAAACATGGAATGACGTGGCCTCTGACTCCACGGTGCCCTCAGCCCAAGCTGAGAGCCACCAGGTTACGACGTGCGGCTGGTCTCTGCGGAGCGGCTGGGGATCCTGGATCCCCCTCCTGTCCCCCGTCTGGGCTTCCTGGGACCCTGCAGATCTGCCCTGGCCCCGCACTTGTACCTGCGAGCTCCCTTGGAAAGGGCCCCCACAAAGCCATGTCCTTGTCCCTGGGAGAACCAGCACTGGGACTCTGGACAAGTCATTTCTTCCTCAGGGACCTGCTTGGTGGGAGCCATTGGCTTGGACGGATCACGATTTCAGGGGCAGCGTGACCTGCGGGTTCAGAGCCCAGGGTCTCTCTGGGCCTCCGCCCGGGCCTTCACCTCCCGGAGCCTCACTTAGCCCCTCCTGGGGTTTGAGTGACAGCAACCCGGATTGAGAGCTCTGCCAGTCCTGGGTGCCTGCCAGCTCAGCATGTCACCGCAAGGGTCACCAACCCCCGTCAGCGTCCTCCAATCACGAGAGGCCAGCTCCAGCGTCCCCGTCTTTATTCTAGTGCCCCTGGGGACACTCAGTGGACACCCTGGGCTGCCCTCCCAGCCTGCAGAGTGGAGAGACACTGAAGCTCAAATCCTGAGCCCCTTGATCTCAGAGTCCTGCATGGAATTTCCCAACTGCTTTTATTAATAAAAGCAAAGGACGACTTTCATGTAATAAAGTAGAACCTGAGGTCCATGAGGACCAGCCACACACTGACGCACAGGAACCTGCAGGTATTTATCATGAAGTATCCACGGGCAGCCTCGCCCAGCTCTGGCGTCTGGTTTGGAGCCGGTTGGTCAAGACGGGAGAGCCGGGCAGAGGAGAGAGTGTGGGCGCAGGGGGCTGAGCCCAGGGTTCCAGCCCTGGGTGGCCGTGACCCGGGGGCAGCCACCCCGCTTACTGAGGGTTTGCTGTGTGTCAGGTCCCAGCAAAACACCCCACATCCCCAACAAATTTAGTTCTTCTTCTTTTTTATTTTTTGGTACCAGGGATGAACTCAGGGTGCTTAACCACTGAGCCACATCCCCAGCCCTTTTTTAAAATTTTATTTAGACACAGAGTCTCACTGAGTTGCTTAGGGCCTTGCTAAGTTGCTGAGGCTAGCCTTGAACTTGTGATCCTCCTGCCTCAGTCTCCCTAGCTGCTGGGATGACAGGCGTGTGCCACTCCACCCGGACCAGCCTCCAAAGAGCTCGCAAGTGCGGGAGGTCTTGGAAGCAGTGATCATGTGCAAGGTCACATGCTGGGTTCAAACCTCACCTGGATCACTTCCGGGTCGAGTGACCTTGGCTGAGTTCTACTCAGACGCCAAACTTCTGCAGCCTCCTATGTCTGGTGCAAGCAGCCCAGGGGCTCCTTATTCTGGCCCTGAGCTTGTGCCATCCCTTCGTCCTCAAACCCAGACCCACCTGCCGCCTCCCTTTCCCCTCAGGTGTCTCCAGCTGTGCACAGGAACCGGCTGACCGGGGACCCCTGTTGGACACCACAGCACTGAACGGTGAGGGACTCCTGTGGTCTGAGCTCAGGTCTCCAAAGGGGACGAGTGGCCCTGGCCAGGCTGGGAGCACGGGGGTGGCTGCTAGCAGGGTTTTGGAAGTGTGGCTGGAACCAAGTTCGTGGCACCATGCCTCTCTGTCCTAGGGGGCAATTTCCCCATTATTCGAGGGGCTTTTGGGTGAATATTTCCTTCCCCCCAAACGGTGGGGGAGGAGAGGATCCCAAAGAGGCAGAAGATATAATCGTCAACAGGACAGACCTGAAACTTGGAATTTTTTGGTGCTGAGGATTGAACTCAGGGGCACTCGGCCACTGAACCCCACCCCCAGCCCTATTTTGTATTTTATTTAGAGACAGGGCCTCACTGAGTTGCTGAGGGCCTCGCTTTTGCTGAGGCTGGCTTTGAACTCGCGATCCTCCTGCCTCAGCCTCTGAGCCTCTGGGATGACAGGCGTGGGCCACTGTGACCGGCTGACACTCGGATTTCAATGGCAGCTTGGTCTTTTCCCAGCTCTCTGGCCTTGGGCCACTGCTGGAGTGGGGTCTGCTCAGAGCCGGGCAGGGCGCGGTTGGTCTTGCTGGCGCCGGTCAGCTTTGGGCGGTCACTGTCGCCCAGCTGCCCCTCATGACCTCCCTTGCCTTGCAGAGGATGGAGGATGGGGAGTACAACTCCTCCCTCCCCTACGACGACGAATACCTGGATGATCTCGGCCCCGTGTTGGTTCTGGACGACCACCCCGCCCCGGAAGCCAGGGTGACCAGGATCCTCGTGGTGGTGATCTACAGCATCGTCTGCTTCCTGGGGATCCTGGGCAACGGCCTGGTGATCGTCATCGCCACCTTCAAGATGAAGAGGACGGTGAACAGCGTGTGGTTCCTCAACCTGGCCGTGGCCGACTTCCTCTTCAACGTCTTCCTGCCTCTGCACATCACCTACGCCGCCCTGGACTACCACTGGGTGTTCGGGACGGCCATGTGCAAGGTCAGCAGCTTCCTGCTCATCCACAACATGTACACCAGCGTCTTCCTGCTCACCGCCATCAGCCTGGACCGCTGCGTCTCCGTGCTGCTCCCCGTCTGGTCCCAGAACCACCGCAGCGTCCGGCTGGCCTACACGGGCTGCGTGGTCATCTGGGTCCTGGCCTTCTTCCTGAGCTCCCCGTCCCTCGTCTTCCGGGACACGGCCAGCCTGCACGGCAAGACCTCCTGCTTCAACAACTTCAGCCTGTCCGCGCCCGGCTCGTCCGGCCGGATCGGGTCCAGCCAACACGTGCTGGTGACCGTCACCCGCTTTCTGTGTGGCTTCCTGGTCCCTGTCCTTGTCATCACGGCCTGCTACCTCACCATCGTCTGCAGGCTGCGGCGCAACCGCCTGGCCAAGACCAAGAAGCCCTTCAAGATCATCGTCACCATCATCGTCACCTTCTTCTGCTGCTGGTGTCCCTACCACACTCTCTACCTGCTGGAGCTACACCACACTGTCCTGCCTGGCCCTGTCTTCAGCCTGGGCCTGCCCCTGGCCACGGCCCTCGCCATCGCCAACAGCTGCATGAACCCCCTTCTGTACGTCTTCATGGGCCAGGACTTCAAGAAGTTCAAGGTGACGCTCTTCTCCCGCCTGGTCAACGCTCTGAGTGAGGACACGGGCCACTCCTCCTTCCCCAGCCATAGGAGCTTCACCAGGATGTCGTCAGTGAACGACAAGTCTTCGGTGAACGAGAGGGAGACCAGCATGCTGTGAGCCTCACCTGGGAGACCTGCAGCGGTCACTCCCAGCCCAGGGGGGCCCAGGGGTGCCCGGGGACGTGCCTTCTGAAGACCAAGGCAGGCACCTCCTTACTGCACCTTGATGGATACTCGCTGCATTTTGCGTAGGGGTGAACCGTGTTGTGAATCCAGGGTGGGGAACCCCTTTCTCTGAGTGGCATGGGGGACGGAGCTGGCCATGTCTCACGTGGACCTTGGACCAGCACCCTGAGCTCCAACGGAGACCAGCCTGGACCCACTCAGAGCAGCCGAGGAAGGATTCTCAAAAGCACAGCTGTGAAATGAGATTGGCCTAAGGCTGTGGTATTAAGCTGCCTACTGGGTACCCCAGGAATACCCCGGGTCCTCTCCAAAGTCCCTGGAGGGAGCAGGAGAGGTCAGGGGGAACCTAGCGTGAAGCAGCTGACGCTTCGTCCCCCGAGATCCTGGCCCTGCAGGTGTCCCTCTGGGTGAGGCCCGTGGAAAGGCACAGGATACTGACTGAAGTGACAGACGCCCCTGACCGTGTACTTGACTTTGAGAGGAGTCGAGAAGATGGACCAGGTCCCCAGGGCTTTGTGGATTCTGGCAAGGTCCACACCAGGGAGCCTGCAACCGGTACTGGGGTCTGGGGAAAGGCAGAGCAAAGACCGTCCAAGGCGTGGGCACCGCAGTTCACCCCAGAGCTTCCCACGGTGGGGCACGTCAGCCACAGGTGCAGGGACGCCGGCCCAGGGGTGGAGGCGGCGGTGGGGACCCAGATGCTACCTGGCAGGACAGCCTGCAAGCTGCCTTCCCGAGCCACATCCCTGAGACGAAGGCAAACAGCTCCCGTGTGCACCTCCTTGTCTGGCTTATTCTCTTCTTCCTTTGGCAGGAAGTGACATTGTCCCACTGACAAATGACAGAGTGGAGGCTCTGAGGGAGGAAGCCAGGCACCCAGCACCACACACACGGCCTCACAGCGGCAGAGATGTGATCTGCCCCAGGCTCTGCCTCCAGAGGCTCCCCTCTGGTATGGAGAATTTATCTGTTGAGAAGATTCCAGACCATCACGTGGCCCATATTCAGCACGTCCATGAGATATTTACTCCCCACGGTGGCCCTGAGCTAGGCACAATGGTTATTTCCCTTTTGCATATGAGGAATCTGCAGCTCAGAGAGATTAAGGGACTTGCCCAGGGTCACCCAGCTAGTTTGCTGGAGGCTGGATTGGAACCTCAGTTTGCTGGGTTCAAACAAGGCGGCAGAGTCAGGAAGGAGCTAGAGAGGTTGGGGCTTCTTTGTAACGGGGTGCTGCTGGGGGTTGAACCCAGGGGCGCTTTACCACCGAGCTACATCCCCAGGGCTTTTTGTTTGTTTGTTGGCTTTACTTTGTATTTTGAGACAGAGCCTCCCTACATTGCGGAGGCTGGCCTCGTCCTGGTACTCCTTCTGCCTCAGCCTGGGATCAGAGGCGAGTGTCACTGCGCCTGGCGAGAGGTTAAGTTTTGAGCATGACTTGATTTTTTCAGCAGATCAATGTGAAAATCTCAGTGGCCCTTTAAGGAGCTTTGCAAATAGTTTTCAAAATGATCCAAAACGGCAGAGAAAATGCACTTGGCCTCCAGCTCCCTGGACACCCATCAGCACCCCGCCCCCGCCCCCGGGGCCCCCACCCTCAGCGCACCCCGAGGTCTCTGGGGAGCAGAGCAGGGGAGGCCTGGCGGGCGTCAGCCTCCTGTTGGACCGAGGCCTCTTGGCCCCGAACCGCCCAAGTCCCTTGGTCGTGAAGCCTGTCCTCCTGATGTCACGTCGACCTCGTGCTGGGCCCGTCCCCAAGCTTCGGGCTGTTTGGAGTCACACTTCATCAAGGGACAGACTGTTCCTTCCTGTTGGGTCTGGAAACTTTTGATGAGGGAGCTCTGAGTGCATCCAAGCCGGGCCTCCGACGGCCTCAGGGAGTTGGGACCCGCACGTTGGACGGGGAGACGGAGCTCTGAAGACGGCCCAGCGCCCCTGCCGTCCCCGCCCAGGTTTACAGATGAGGCGCTAGGTGCCGGGTCGCAGAGGCAGTCCTCTGCCACTCAGGCCTCCGGGCTACGGGGACAGCGCTTCTCCTGGGCTGCAGGGGAGGCCCGGCCAGGCTGGGGGCCAGGAATTTGTGGGGTCACTGGGGACACCGATAAGCAGGACGGGATGCAGACCAGCTGTCCTCCTCCCTCTCTCCTGGATGCCACACCAGCGTCCCTGTTCTGACTGACATTTTCTGTTAGGGATGTCAGTGTGACCAGGACGTCCCCTCCTGTCTTGGCCCCACGGTGTCTTCTATAATCCCTGCAGTTGGTGACACGTGCTCCTGTGTCACACTCCACGGGTAGCCAACACGCCCAGGGCCTGGCTTCTTCTCTCCGGGCCAGGACCCAGCCAGTGGTCTCAGTGCCGGGGTCAGGTGGGTCGAGGGGACATGGGGACAAATGGCAGAGAGACCTGAAGAGAAGAGAGTACGGGCTCTGGCGTTTACTGAGCACCTACCAAGTGTCACCTGTTATGTGTCACCTACCATGTGACACCTGCCATGTGACTGGCCAGGGGGAGGACCACCGGGGCCACGTGGGTGGTGCAGAAAGCAAGGCTAGGAGCTGGTCACGCTTGCCTGGGGGACACGGGCCGGGAAGGGGGCAGCTGGCTTGGAGCCAGGGCTGCTGTCTGGGCCCCCACCTCCATTTTTCTAGCAACCAAGCACGCAAAGGGGTGGCGACTCTGTCAGTCTAATAGCCAAGACCTGGCGGATGGGAGAGAATGGCCCGGCCTCCTCGATCCTGAGTCTTGCTCTTGAGCACTGCTGGGGCCAACTCAAGGGCCCATCCCCCACTGCCCATCCCCCAACACTCCCCATCCCCCCACCACCCACCACCCACCCACACATCCACCCACCCACCTGTTTACATGAGCACCTATTACCCACCCATTCGCCCAGTCTCCATTACAGTGCATTTAACACCTGCTCTTTGCTGGGAGCCCAGGGAGGCCCTGGGGACACAGGGATAATCAAGCCACACTGTCTCTGTCCTCTGGCGAGTGGGACAGACAGCTAACCATTAAAACCCACCAAACCCGCCCATCCTGGTGGAGAAAACCCTCAGTGAAGGGCCACACACTTATTCTAGAGGGACCTGACCCCATTCGGGAGCCAAGGACACCCCCTGGGGAGGACACGCTTGAGTTACCTTGGTGGGTACTGGCTTGGTGGGGGGCCCTGGAGGGGGTGCTCTGGGGGGAGGGGACAGGGGGCCAGTCCTGTTGATCTGGGAGATCAACACAGTGGTCACAGGGGAGTGGGGACTCCGTGCGGGAGCAGGGCGAAGGTGGGACCAGACGGGGAAGGTCTTCGCCCTGAGAGCCAGGGGCCAGGCCTGCGCAGGTGTGCACCCCGTGTCCACGGCCCTGGCCGCTGTGCAGGGACCCAGTGGAGCGGGGCAGAGAGGAGGCAGGCAGCTGAGGTGTCCCAGCAGGGACAGTCCTTGGACTGGGGAGGGCAGGTGGAGCCCTGGAGGGGGACTGTTGGGGAGATAGTGAAAAGCCGCCCAGCCCTCTCAGGGCAGCGGTGAGTGGGAAGCCAAGCCGAGCCCATGTCTCTACACAGAGTCTCGATGCTTTGCTTTATTGGCAGAAATTAATAGTAAACATTATTCAACTCGCCCTCCCCGTGCACAATGACGATCCTCGGGGGGCCCCTGAGCACATAATGAATCCCATAAATAACACACAGGTTCACCTCGGGCGGCAGAGGCCTGTTCAAGCTGGGATTGCAGGGGTGGTGGCGGGGGTGGCGCGGGGGTCTACGCAGACAAGATGTCCCGCTGCGGGGACCGGGGTTTAGCCTTGGCCATCACCTGGGCTCTGTCTGGGGGGAATCTTCTAGAAGTGCCTCCCCCCCAGAGGATGTGGATATCCCCCACCATGGCTTAGATTCCTGGTCGAAGGGCAGGTGGGGAGCAAGCAGCAAGCAACTCGGGCCTGTGCATGGTCCAGTGACTGACAAGGACAACCTGGTGGCCGGAGCTAATGTGCATCGGGCATGTTCAAGTGCGGGCGGCCACTTTAGTGTCATCATTTCATTGAGTCCTTGCAGCAACCTCTGTGGTAGGAGCTGTTACTCTCTCCACTTACAGATGGAGAAGTTGAGGTTCAGAGAGGTGAAGTGACCTGCCTGAGGCCACACAGCTACTAAGTGATCAAGCGGGGGGTCCCAGCCCTGCTGGTCTCAAAAACTCTGTTTCCCCAGCAACCTGCAGACTCAAAACTGTCCTCTGAAGAGACTCGTCTCCGGAGGGAGGATGACAGGGTGCGCTCCCTCTCTGGTGTGGAGTTTTGAGGAGGTCCCAGTGAGGGGGTCTGAGGGATTGCTTTGTCCTGGAGGGAGGGAAGCCGTGTCGGGTGGGCTTGTCACTTGCGGGCAGCCTTGGGGGGCTTAGGGTTTTGGAGTTTGGAAGAGACACATCCTGCCCCGCCCTTCCCCTCTCCCGGTCACAGACTGAAACGAAGTGGGGGTGCAGCTCCTCTGGGGACCTCCTGCCTCTCTGACTGCTGTGCGCTAAGTGAGTGCAAATGCTCCTGCATGTGGTCGGCATTCGCCAGGCCGCCCCCTTCACTTCTGAGTTTGTCCCCCAGGCCCCCGGTCTGTCCTGGAGGACCTCTGCCCAGGCTCTGCGAGCCCCTCAGGAGCCTCCGGCAGAATCCTGGCTGGAGAGGGGCGGGTCTTGGCGAAAGTCACTTCAGGGCAGAGACGTGATGTATTTGGGGCATAAACTCAACCTTCCAAATTGCCCCAGGTGTGGGCGAGGGGTGTTCCTTGACCCGCAAGTGGTCACATGGGTGTCCTCACAGGTTACGCTCACTTCTCGGTGTGTCTACGGTGAATGCACCGCACAGCAGTAAGTTATATCTCAATAAAAGTCTTTTTAAAAATAAAATAGTTGGTGGTAACTGTAGAAACGACTTCCCGCGGGCACCCTGGCCAGCCAGCAGGAGGAGAGGACCAGATCTGGGGGAATCATCCTGGGGCAGTGGCCCCTGCAGGGTCTGTCCAAAGAGACAGCCTCAGAAAGGACCAAGCCCTCCTGGGGGTGATCCCAGTGTGACCCTGACTCTAAGGGCCTCTGATCGCAGTGACAGGAGCAGGTGGGCTCAGGAGTCACATGGTCTGAGCTCGAATCCCAGTCCACTCTCTGCATCAGCTGGAGACCTCTGATGAGCTCATTCAACTCCCCAAGCCTCAGTTTTCTCATCTGCACAATGGATCCACTCAGAGTTTGCAGCTCCTGGGGTTACCAGGGAGTTAAAGGAGACACCCCCCACCTTAGTGCTTAGCTCTCATTCCCCCGGGGGGGGCAACCATCCCCCCGCAGGTCATAGCCTGGTCACCTTTGCCCCTCCCCCACTCTGCAGAGAGGCCAGGCTCAGGTGCCCCGTCCCCCTCCCTAGCAGATCCCTGTTCTCTTTCCTCCTTGGTGCCGTCTGATCATTTCACTTCTTTCTGTATTTAGCTGCCTTGGGTCTGCCCTGCTCTGGGTGGCGAGCTCTGTCCGGCATGGGCCTGTCCCTCCCACTGTACCCCATCACCCAGGGCAGAGCTGAGCCCGGAAAAGTGCTCACAGTTTTTTGTTGAGTGAAGAAATTGTCAGCAGCTGACATTATTTTTATCACCATCACCGGCAAGGACCATGATGGTCACGGTCACAATACACTCTCACAATACGTGAATGATCAAATACAGTGAAAATGCCCAACATCTCCAGCCACTAGAGAAATGCAAATTAAAATGATGCTGACTCACTCCAGTCAGAATGGCAATCTTCAAGAACACAAGCAACAAACATGCTGGTGAGGATGTTGGGAAAAGTTTCCCTCATACCTTGCTGGTGGGACTGCAGATTGGTGCAGCCACTCTGGACAGCAGTGTGGAGATTCCTCAGAAAAGTTGGAATGGAGCCACCATTTGACCCAGCTATCTCACTGCTCTGTCTATACCCAAAGGGCTTAAAATCAGCCTACTACAGGACACAGCCACATCAATGTTGATAGCAGCTCAATTCACAATAGCTACGCTACAGAACCAACCTAGGTACCCTTTAACAGATGAATGGATAAAGAAAATGTGGTATACATACACAGTGGAATATTACTCAGTCATTAAAAATAATAACTTTATGACTTTTGCTGGTAAATGGATGGATCTGGAGACTCTCATGCTAAGTGAAATAAGCCAATCCCCCCAAACCAAAGGGCATATGTTCTCTCTGAAATGTGGATGCTGACACACAATTGGGAGGGGAGAGGATAGAAGTTCATTGGATTAGAAATATGGAAATGAAGGGAAGGGAGCAGGGATGGGAGTAGGAAAGAGAGTCGAAGGAATCTGAATAACTTTCCTGCATCCACATAGGAGCACACGGCCAGTGAAACTCCACATCATGTACAACTGTAGAAATCGGAAGCTCTACTCCACGTATGTACGACATGTCAAAACACACTCAAAAAAGAACAAATAGGAAAAAAATACATGATTTCCAAATATACCGAATTTTCTACTTTTTTCCCTCTATGCATGAAGGCTGGAGAGGGTGCCATTTCTCCCCATTTCACAGACAAGGACACTGAGGCTTGGGGTACTCAGTTGGGAGTGGAGGAGTCGCGGTCACTCTCTTGCACAATTCAGAGCCATCGGATGAAGGAGGTTCCCATTAAGGGCCTCCCTCTCCCCTGGCCCCCTCCCTCCCCTGCAGCCTGATGTACTGCAGCCTGGAAATAAAGGAACCAGATGTCGTCCTCCACCCCACCCCCCCCCACCCCCCACCCCCCGCTCTTATTGTTTTGCGGTTCTTTTCCGGATCAGGGCTCTGGGAAGGGTTTGGTGGGTATGGCTGGCCGCGGACTCCTGTGTTCGACACCCCTCTGGATAAAGCCATTGGCCGGGCGTCAGGTTTGCTTCGGGCACAGATGATGGGCGACAAAGCACATCCAGACACCTGAGTGTCCTATGATGCCCTGTGACTCTGGAGCCCAGGGAACTGACCCTGGCAGAGGCCCGGGGCTACCTCTGCCCTGGTCTCCACCATGTGGACATTTGGCACCCGAGAGCAAGCATCTGGATGACTGAAGGAGTTTCCAGTTGGCTTCCAGATGCTGACCCCGTGGAGCAGGGACGTGGTGGGAAAGGGCACTCTCACAGCCTTAGCTGTTGGCCTGTGCACTCCTGGTTGATGGCAGGATTTAGGATGCCCAGGCCACTGTCCAGTCTTCCTGGGATCCCCTGGCTTGGGATGAGACTTTAGGCATGGTAACAGGTAGCCGGGGGCCATTCCACGTCAGTCATTCCATTTCCTCTCCATTGGAAGGCTGGACAGTAAAACCAGCATTTAGGGACAAGAAAGCTCAGAGGGATCAAGCGACCAACCACTCGCCCGGAGGCAGAGCTGGGATTCGAACCCACGCCACACCCATATGACTTTGTGGCGTCTTCTCTGCTTATTCTACTTCCTGGGTTAAGTAAAACAGAGACCTAAGAATTAGCACAGATCAGAGGAAGAGGCTTTTGGCTATAGTTAGAGAAGACTCACAGCTTGGCTGGAAATAGCTGATTAGAGAAAGATTCTGGGGTCCCAGAGGCACCCGTCAGCCTCTGCTCCCCCACCCCCAGATTCTCCAAATAGGCAAAAGGTTGGATTCAACGGCTCTTTCCCTCCTTGGAAAAAGAGCAGGAAGAGACTCAAATGAATGGCTCCTAAGAGGTAAAAAATAATTCAGAAACTGAGGCAGGTGGGAGGAAGAATAGAGAATGGGATGTGGGTTTCCTGACCCTCTTCCATTCTTGCTCTAGGAACACTCGGTGTGTTCATTTATCGGAATCAAAATGTCTCTGGTTGGTGATTTCTGGATTCTTTGGGCCTGCTGTGCTCGTATGATCCTTGTTCTAGTCCCTTGGCTGCAGAATCTTCCACAGAATAATGAAAAAAGCTTGCTTAACCTCAAAATGCGGGATATGAAGAGGTCCTGTGGTCAGCCTAGTCAATCCCCTCCCAGGATCCTCTATGGGACAAAGCAGGAACTGGGGACTTCCCCTGGCCCCAGACCTTTCTCTCCTGCCCCACAGTTCCACTTCCAGTCCCTTCCGTGGCTCAGTCTTTTTCTCACAGTTTGGTTCAGACACACTGAGTCGAGAAGCAGAGAAACAGACGATCAGCATACTTTAAAAGGCTGGGAATATAAATGGCAGGAAAGAAAGCCCTGAAGACCCATGAGAGTTAATATCTGCCTTTGGACTCACCCTTGGAAATAAACCAAGCAAGATATGAAAGAAAGAAGATCATCTCCATGAGGGTGCTTTGGGCTGCAGGTAACAGAAGACTGAATCAAGATGGCTGAGGCCATAAGCAAAGACATTCCCTCCCCTAGTGAAAAGGCCTGGTGAGTGGGAACTCAGCAGCCCAACCTTGACATCAGGGGCTCAGGGCACTTCCTTCCCCCTGATCTGTCACCTTCAGAGAACAGACTTTGTCCCCAAGATACATCTCTCCTGGTCCAAAGATGGCTTCTGCAATGTCAGATGTTGGAGCCACCTTGGCATCTGCCAGAAGGGGAAAGACTGTCCCTTTAAGAATGTTGCCAAAAAAACGCCTCTCCCTGAAGTCCCCAGCAGAGCTCCCCTCACCTCTTTGGTCAGAACTGGGTCACGTGGCTGCTACGCCACCAATCACAGTGAGGGAAAGGACGGTGGCTCACACCAATCAGGATCCACTCCTGAGTCACCTGGGAGAGGGGTGACCACTCAGATGATACCAGGTTCCAGTCCCAAGGACAAAGGAGGGCAGTTCAGGGTAGAGACCAGTGGGGTCTGTTCTACCACATTTTAAAAATATTTATTCTTAAGTTTTAGGTGGACACAGTATCTTTATTTTACATTTATGTGGTGCTGAGGATCGAACCTAGTGCCCTGTGCATGCTAGGCGACCTTTGCACCACTGAGCCCACAACCCCAGCCCTCTACCACATTTTTATCCATTTTTTTAATCAGGTCACCAAGTGTTCCTTTAGACAGCCTTGAACACTCAAGTCACTACCTAGTAGTCCTAGTGGAGGTGCCACAATTTATCTAGTTAAAATTTTATTGGTGACCAGCCTAGGTACCCTTCAACAGATGAATGGATAAATAAAATGTGGTTTATTTTATATATAATATAATATTTTATTTATATATATATATATATATTACTCAGCCGTAAAGAAGAATGAAATGACGGTATTTGCCATTAAATGGACTGGAGGCTATTATGCTAAGTGAAATAAGCCAGTTCCAAAAAACCAAAGGCTGAATGATCTGATATGCGGATGCTAACACACACTGGGGACAGATAGAAGTTCACTGGACCAGACAAAGGGGAATGAAGGGAAGGGAGGGCATGGGAATAGGAAAGACAGTGGGATGATGGGACGTGACCTTCCATGTTCCTAAATGGCCACACGACCCGGGAAACTCCACATCCTGTGCAGCCACAGACACGAGGAGCTACACCCCACGTACATGTCAAAGTACACTCTACTGCCGTGTATATCTACAAACAGCAAATAAAGAAATAAAAAACAAATGATTGGTGGACGTGTAGGTGATTCATTTTCCAGAAGATCTTAGTAGGGTGATGAGCTTCCTCAGTGGGGCCTGGCTCCCACCGAGCAGAGCTTCGGAAGCCCCCGCCCCTTGTGTCGGGGAGGCCCGCAGAGCTGACTGACCTGGACTTTCTGCCCTCAGGCCCACCCACAGGGGTCCCACTTAGAGCAGTGAGAACTTTCCAGAAGCTTCCAGAGTCTGGTGGCTTGAGGGAGAGGGCATGGCGGGTGGACATGGCCACACGGTGAGGCTCCGGCATCAAGCAGAGTGGGCAGTGGCTCTTCCTCCCTGTGCCCTGGTCCCCCCCTGTGAGCCGGAGAGGCTGCGTGGCCTGTGTGAGGACAGCCACGTCGTCCCCTGCAGAGTTGGCTCCAGGGCTTGAAGAGACCAGGTGCCTAAAGTCGCGGACTCTCCCGCCCCATGCTTTCTTCTTCCTTATTCACAGTACTGCGTCTGCCCTGCTCTCTCCGGGGGCCTTGCTCAATCCGGGCCATTGACCCAGGACGCTGCATGGATCTTAGATGGTGTGTCCGGGCAGCGCCTTTCATGCTGCTAGGACTTGGCAGGCGAGGAGAGGGCCGTTTTTGTCACTGATAGTTGGTCTGGTCCTTCTCCTACCACACCCCAGGCCCCCACCCACAATGGCAAACAAACAAAACAGACATGAACTTGTCCCTTTGCGTGGGTTGAACTGTGTCCCCTTCTGCCCCTCCCTAAGATAAAGCAAAACAGAACACAACAGGAAAGAACTTATAGGTTGACATCTGAACTGCGGCAGGTGGGGTTGTGATCCAGGGCCCCCAGAGCAGAGCCGTGAGAGGAGAAAGGAGCCAACATGGGCTGGTCCCTGCTCCTGCGGCTGAGCGTCTCCCCTTCCCCCCCCCCCCAAAACAAGCAGGTTTCCTTCCCCCCTCCCCTCGGGCTCGGCCCTTCTCATCCTGCAGGGAGCCTCGGAGTTACAGAGAGAAGGTGTTTGGCTTCTGGCTCAGGCAGAGTCTGGGAGCTGGGTCTCGCGGGCTCCGCTTCAGTGCATGGAAAAGAATAATAGTGCACCCTGTCATCCCAGGGGCTCGGGAGGCTGAGGCAGGAGGACGGCGAGTTCAAAGCAGCCTCAGCAAAAGTGAGGCCCTAAGGAACTCAGTGAGGCCCTGACTCTAAATAAAATACAGAATAGGGCTGGGGATGGGGCCCAGTGGTCGAGTACTTGCCTGACATGAGCAAGGCCCTGGGTTCAATCCCTAGTCCTGCCAATAAATAACTAAACAAAAGTTGGGCAATCCTCCCTCGAGATGAGAAGCCCAGCTAACCGTCCAATTCTGCATCACAAACAGAACATGGCCTCCTTCTGCCTCTTACATAAGGGATCCTGTTTTCTTCCTGTGCCTGCGGACTCCTGGGGCCAGCTGGACGATGATCACGTCCTTGGATCGCTAACCAAAGGAGCGTCCTCAGGATTTCCAGAGGAGCCACTGGTCACAATTAGATCTTGATTCTTTGGGCTGTTCCCAGCGGGCTTCGTGTGGGCCAGCTCGTGCCACTGGAACAAAATGCCCGAAGCCTGGCAATTCAGAGGGGACAGAAGTTGATTTCTCACAGTTCCCGAGACGGGAAGCTCGTGATGAAGCCTGGCGGGGCTGGGGTAGAGGACAGAGGGCAGCCTCGCCCCTCAAGCCCTGCTTACCAGGGCACTAATATCTTCAGGAAGGGTGGAATCCTCCTGGCCTAATCCCCACCCAAAGGACCCCCCCCCCCGCCTTTAATTCTGGTGCTTTGGAGATTAAGTTTCCTCAGGAATTTTGGAGGAGACGTAGACATTCAAACCATAGCACTTCAGATCTTAGAAACTGGAATGAGCTGGGCGCGGTGGCCCACACCTGTCATCCCAGCGTCTCAGGAGGCTGAGGCAGGAGGATGGCGAGTTCAAAGGCAGCCTCAGCCACAGTGAAGTGCTAAGCAACTCAGTGAGACCCTGTCTCTAAATAAAATACAAAATAGGGCTGGGGATGGGGCTCAGTGGCTGAGTGCCCCTGAGTTCAACCCCTGGTACCCTCCCCCCACAAAAAAAATCTAAAATGAAAAGTCACGATGATGATGATGATGATGATGATTTTTGGTACTGGGGAGACAGGGTCTCACTGAGTTGCTTAGCAGCCTCCCTTTTGCTGAGGCTGGCTTTGAACTCACGATCCTCCTGTCGAAGCCTCCTGAGCCGCTGGGATGACAGGCGTGCAGCACTGTGTCCAGCCATAATGATCATTATAAAGACCGTTTTTATGACTCCTCAACCATAAAATATATTTTCTCCACATTTTACAGAGGAGGAAATGGAAGCTCAGGGAGAGGGGACGTTCCCTGCCCAAGGTGACTTGGCTGGTGAAGTGCCACAGAGATGGGGGTGGGACGCTGCTGTCCTCAGGCTCCTGGGCACAGTGACACACGATTTTCTGCTCACTGATGTGGAGCTGCGTACCACATGTCTGAGAACCCGGGGGTGGGCAGGGATGGGGTGGGAGAAGCCCCATGGGAATGCGGGGGCTTCCGCCGAGGCCCTGAGGTCCCTGATGCTTGTGTGATGGGATTGGGGGTTGCCTGGGATCCTGAGATCTGTTCTTCCTCTCGCATCTCTGGCTCTCCTGGGTCTCAGGGCTGCCAGGGGTTAAAAACCCATCCCAGGGCCTTTGCAGGCGGCGAGAACAGATGCCCAGGCAGATCCCCAAATCCTCAGTGTGTGGTGCTGTTGGACGTGGGGCTGCAGATGGCAGTTTCTGGCTCACACAGGACTCACCTGCCTGGCACCACCCCGCTCCAAATGCTCAGTTCAACAGGAGGAGGCTCCTGTTGTACCAGACTTTGAACCCAGGGGCACTTAACCTCTGAGCCATACCCTCCCCCCAGCTCTTTTTATTATTATTATTATTTTTTATTTTGAGACAGGATCTCACTGAGTTGCTTGGGGCTTTGCTAAATCGCTGAGGCTGGCTTTGAACTTGCAGTCCTCCTGCCTCAGTCTTCTGAGTGGCTGGGATTAAAAGCGTGCCCCAGCATACCCAGGCTTGATCAGCCCCATTTTTAAAGAGAAGAACTCAGGGGCTCAGAGAGGTCAAGCCTTGTGCCCAAGCCACACAGCTAAGGAACGGCAGTGCCTGGGACACTGGCTGCCGAGCTCCTGTGCCCAGCACTGAACTCGGTGAGCCTGGGCCAGGCACTTCTACACCTTGAGCCTCGGTTTCCTCATCTGCAACATGGACAGGAAGCACGGGGTCGGAAATGGGATGCTAGACCCCGAGGTAGGATGCATGTCCCGGGAACAACCTTGGGAAGGTCACTTTTCTTTTCTAGGTCTCAGTTTTCCTTTCTGAAAAACAGAGCAGGAGACGGGGAAGGCGACGGGTTTTCCCAGGCTCGTGACTGTCAGGGTTGGCATGTAACAGACTGTGTGTTGGCTGCTCTTGACGTTGACTCCTCCTGGATCCCTGGGGACGGGCATGGCCGCGTGCTTTTTTGGGGTGTGGAGACTCAGGTGGGTGTCTCCGGAGCTTTGCTCTTAGGCAGCTTCTCGGGGACCCTGTAAATTCGGACATTCCAAGACTCCAGGCAGAGGGTCAAATCTTGCCTCCCCTGGATTCCCAAAATATGGCTCCACCTCTCTGAGCCTAAGTAGTTCCTTCTGCAAAATGGGTCCGATGGTGGCCACCTTGCAGAGCTACCAATGTGATGAAATGTCTGGCATGTGGTAACTCCTGGCTCCTTATGCCACCCCCCACCACACTCAGGTAAGTGCTGGAGGGCAGCCAGGCCAGAGGACCTTCTCTCTCTCCCCACAAGGTTCTGCCCTCCCGTCTCTCGCTTCTGTCCTGCTTCACCAAGCTCCGGCTCCAGCAGCTGCGTTTAATTGGATTTAACTTAATAGTTTTATTGATGCCTTTTGGTTCAGGGGATGCAGGGGCCTCTGGGTAATTTGCACATTTTTAACACACCAAATAAAGAGCGATAAGCATGCACAAGTTCATTTTAATTGGATTAAGCGGAGGCTTGGCTTGGGGAACCAAAAAACCACAGAGGAGCTGGAGAAAAAGAACTCAGAGATTGCAGATTTTCTGCCTCCTCCCACCCCACAGAACATCTGCACCCGCGCTGCTTCCTGCTGAATAAAGGGTGCGCTGTGTCACTGTGACTGTGTCTCCTACAGAGATACACGGGTTGGTGGGTTCTGTCCTCCGCCTCCTTCTCTGGGTGCTTTGTGCATTTTGACAAATGGTTCCAACCCACTGGCTTTGGTTTCAGATCAAGGATCCGAGTCCTGGTCCTGCCTCCTTCCTGCTCATCTTAAGCAACTCACTCCATCCCCTGGACCTCAGTTCCCTCCGTGGTGAGAGGCCCTGCTACTGGGGTCCCTTGGTAGGGTTGGCGGGAGAAGTAAATGCCAGCAAATTGCCTGCCATCGAGAAGGTCCCCCCAAATGGCAGCCACTGAGAAGCCCGTTGAAAGCCCAGATGCAGCTGGCTAAGTGAAGAGGCCACCCCCGACAGGTGTGCAGGGCCACCTAGCACAGGCTGAGGGGCCAGGGGTGGCTTGTCCAGAGGCCATGGGACTTGCAGAATGGACAGGAGCTGGTTGGGGCTGCAACAAGGTACACTTGCCCCTCCTCCACGTATGCGTGGAGCCGCGGATAGCACCAGACTCTCAGCGTCCTTCTTTTCCTAGACACAGGCGCAGTGCAGAGGGACAGCGCTGTTCACCTCCAACAATTACGACAACACACTCTAAGGAAAGTGTGGGACTATGGTCTCTCTTGAAAAAAATCAAGACAAAATTGGTATTTTCAGACTATGGCTTGTGAGACATTCCGAGGCGCCACAAGGAATCAAACGCGGGCTCCAAAAATGGGTGGGCAAAGCAGACCTTCATTTCTGGAGGCTGCGGAGCTGGAGCCGGAGCCGGAGCCGGAGCCGGAGCCGGAGCCTGAGCGTGGCTGCAAGTCCGCCTGCTTATATCTGGGGCTTAACACAGCCCCGCCCCTCCCTCTGATTGGAGGAGATCTGGGTTCTCATCTACACGATTGGCTAACAGTAGAATTAGGGCGGGGAAAAGGCAAGCGGTGCCATGGGATCCAGGTAAGGCCGGATTCTAGGTTCTGAAAACGGACCACCCCCCTTTCCATGCACAGGCTGACCAGGTGCAACTGAAACTTCAGAAAGTGAAATTGTGGGGGGCTGTGGGGAGGGGACCGCTGTGGGGCAAGTCACCTGGGGACCTGGTTGCCTTGCAGATTCTGACTCCAGGGTCTGGGCGGGGCCTGAGAAGGCGCATTTCTGACCCGCTCCTAGGGGATGTTGATGGGGACGGTCCCAGGGCCACCCTTTAAGTAGAAGTTAGTGAATGGACAGAACCGAGCTTTGAAGCCAGCCACTCTGACCCCCAAATCCGGCCTTCTTCACGGTCCTCTGCTAGCTCAAGAGCCCAGCAGGACAGGAAACAGGTCCCGCAGGGCCTTTAGCACTACAAGGGGTCCCTGTAGCCTGGGCGGGAGATTCTATTGACGATTCCTTATTTTATCTTAAACTTGTATGGCTATCTTGCATTTGACACCACACACTTTTCTTATATAAAAATAACACTCCCTTCTTGACTCTTCATCTTCTTCCTATATTTCAGTGAGACAGGTGCCATAGGAAGCCGCGACTTTCCATGTGATCCCTCTAGTGAGGGGTGCCCCTCTGGGATCATGGGGCTGAGCCACAATTCCCCCGCTTTTCTGAGACCAGACTGCCCACTTGGATCAGGTGTGTGTCCTGAGACATGACTGCTGTGGTGTGTGTACAAAGCCAGGTCCCAGGAAGGACCTCCTACAGAAAAACCTATATCTGAGCAGGGCAGTGGGTTGGGGCCTGGTTGCTGGTTCCAGGACTCAGTAAAAAATAAAAAACCAGGTTCACAACTCTGAGTACAACCCTGGTCCATTTTAAATGCTCAGTAAGCATTTGTTTTGATTATTATAATTTAAGCATGTACTGTGGCCAGGGACTCAGTTACTGAATATTCCACCTGTAGTTTTCATTGAACCATTGAACCAGATAGTGCATGTGATAATTTATTTTTAAATGCCCACCGAACAGCACGGTTTAGCCGCTCAGCAACTCTGAGTCTCCTCCCTAGGGTTCAGTTGATTCCACTGTGGACTGCGGCCTGTTTTGGGGAATAAAGATATCCTGGTGTGGTGGTATCAGGTGTGGCGGTGCAGGCCTATAATCCTGGCTACTTAGGAGGCTGAGGCAGGAGGATCGCAAGTTGGAGGCCAGCGTCAGCGACTCAATGAGACCCTCAGCAGTTCTGCGACACCCTTTCTTAAAATGAAAAATAGAAAGGGCTGGGGAGGTAGTTCAGTGATAAAGCACCCTGAGGTTCAATCCCCAGTACCTCCCCCCCCCCCAAAAAAAAAGCCATCTAGGGGACACTTTTATTTGCCTACCTGTTCCAAGTTGGGTTTTCAAGGAAACCAACTCTGAGATGGATTTCCACATGCAGAATTCTTTTTTTTTTTTGGTGGGGGCTGGGTGGGGACTGCCCTTGGATCCACACTAATGGGAAGGAGGGGAAGAGAGCCAGGCCTGGGCAGAGAGAAGTGGTACTATGGTGCACCTCCCTGACGGCTCGGTGGACCCCCAAGAGAGAGAATGGCTCTTTGGGGGTTTCCCAAACTGGGCTGAGGAATCCAGAGCTTCTGCCTTGCATCACTTGGTCCTGGGTCCGGGCTGCCCAGAGAGGGCGTGACCTTGGCAGCAGAGGCAGCCCTTCAGAGCCCCTCTACTGTGATGCTGATCCGTCCCTTGGGTAAGGCGGCAGGGTGTTTGCACACGGCCTGTGGAGTCCCCCTCCCTAGGTGACTTTTAACAGTGAACGCCGTGGACATGCTGCTGTTATAGCATGTGCACGGCGTTCACTGTCCTGGGACTGATCCCCGGGCCTGCTGAGGGAGGGCTGTGTGTGGTAAGAGGGGGAGGAAGAATCTAAGAGGCTGCAGGAGTCAAGGTCCACCCCCTGGGGCCGGTCACGCTGAGGTCAGCCCCTGCTGGGGCCGGGTATAGGGCAATAAGCATTCTTTTTCCTTTTCCTCAAAACTGTGTCCTCATTATTGGATTGGCATTGAGGACAAGGACTGAGCTTTTGGTCACAGTTTGTTATGCAGCATTATTGAAGGGAATAGCTGACAGGTACAAAGGGAACAGAAGATGTAGAAGACTTTGGTGCCTGCACAATATAAGTGCATGATAAAATTTGGCTCTGGGGACACCATTTATTTAACGAATTTAAATATCTAATTTGTTTTATTACATTAAATATTTAATTTAAGCATTAATTAATTTAAATAAATTTCCTCTGGCAGAGGAAATTTCAAGGCAGCACAACCTTCAGGCAGTGGCATGGGTATTGCTGGCAACTTTTAGCCAAGTTTCCTGTAATAATCAAGAACAGAAAGCAAAGCAATCCGAAAACGTGCCGCTTGATCAGAAAAGGGCAAGTAAAAACCGGGGCTAAGGAAGTTGTGGTTTTGAAAGACATGGCAGCTGCTAAAGAGATGCTGAGTCTTCTGCACAGAGATAATGGGGAAGACGGCTGGCGGGCAGCTCAGGAGCTGGCAAGACCACATCATCTCAGCCAAAGGTGTAAAAGTAAAGATTCCTCCGAGGGGAGACCATGGAGCACTCTGCTTCCAGGGGGTGGCCCGGGAAGCTGTTCCACTGTGCTCAGTCACTCGGGTACGCAGAGGCTGCCGCAGTCCTCCCTAGAGGTTGGCTACTGCTCCAGATGACCACAGAGTTCAGCAGCAACCACGTGGTGCGAGTTCTGCAGGATTGCAGGCTTCTAGAGTCAGAGGGATCCTGGAGGCTTCTGCTGAGGTTACAGAGGAAGTCCTGGGGGACAGGTGACGGGCAGCAGGGTTAGAGTCCCTGCAGGCAGCTCCTGAGAGGGCGATGCAGGAAAATGTGAGAAGGAAGGCAAAGTTGCAGTGCAGATGCCCGAGATTAAGAGATGCCAGTAACACGGCACCTCTGCTGCGGAGAGCTGCAGCGATCAAGTACAAACAAGCCGAGAGAGACAGGCCACACGGGCAGTAACCAGCAAAGCCTCGGGCAGAGGGACACTAGCCCTTTGGAGGATCATGCCCTGGGTGCTGGACCGGAGCTGGGCTTCCACCTCGTTTGGGGTCCAGCCCCCTGTCCTCCAAGCCCCTGTTTCTCCTCTGTGACATGGAAATATCTACTCTGTGCCATTATTTCTAGGACATGGATAACTTGTTGTTTTCATTTTTACAGGGGATCAAGCTGACAATTTGCCTTGGATCTCAGAAGACTTTGGCCTTGAAAGCTTTGACCCAGCTTCTGGGTAACGTGGGAAAAGTTGGAACATGGGGACTCCTGGAAATGGGCCAGATGTACTTTGCACTGGGAGATGGGCACGCGCTTTGGGAGACCATGTGGGAGACCAGATGGGTCCACACGTAGGGTAGTTGGGTCGACCATTCCTCCCATCTTCCATGGTTTAGATATGAGTGTCCCCCAAAAGCTCACGGGTGAGACGACCCAAGAAAGTTCGAAGATGGAACGATGAGATAAAGAGGTGGAACCTAATCCACGGGTGGGTTGCACTGGGTGGTAATGATAGGCAGGTAAGGTGTGGCTGCAGGAGACAGGTCACGGGGCGTGACATAGTTTATGATCTCCCTCTCTGCCTTCCTGAGCTGCTTTCCTCCACCTTCTGCCAAGATGCCCTTCTGCCTCACGCCGGGCATCCATGGAGGGGCTGTATATGGACTGAGACCTCTGAAACCAGGAGCCAAAATACACTTTTCCTCCTCGACGTTGTTCTGGCAGGTCTTTTGGTCACAGCAACGAAAAAGCTGACTTACCACTCTCATATCTATTCATAAGTATTACTAGAAATCATGAGTCTATTTAACAATTTTTTTTTTACTAATATCTAAATTTTAAGCACCTTTAAGAGGAGACCACGTTTTGATTTCTTTCATCAGTGCATTACAGTCATACATGATATTGGGGCTCATTTGGACATAATGATAGAGGCACGGAATTTTATTTGATCCAGGTCAGGCCCAAGCACTTCCCCTTTCCTGACCCTCCGCCAATCCCCTGCTTCCCTCCTCCACTCTGCTGGTCTGCCTTCTATTTATTTATAGTATTTTAAAAAAATTAATGCATTCTGGATGTGCATAAAGGTGAACTTTGCTGTGGCCTATTCACATACGTACGTAGGATCGTTCGGTCCATTTCATCCCACCATTCCTCCCTTTTCCCATCTCTCCTCCCTTCCTCTGCTCCCCCAGGCTCTCTTCTGTTTTCTTGGGATCCCTCACCCTCCCTTTATTATTCTCCTAATTTTGGTCCAGATTCTGCATCTGAGAGAAAACCTCTGACCCTTGGCTTTCTGGGTCTGGCTTATTTCACTTAGCACCATGTTCTCCTGTCCCATCTAGTTACTGGCTAATGCCACGATTTCGATCTTCTTTATGGCAGCGTACCAGTCCACTGGGTATGTGCTTTCCTGTTCTTTTTGAAGAAATTATTTAAAAACTTATATGAGGAAATAACCTCATGCCTTTCATGAAACTCCACCTGCAAAATTGGACCTTTGGTGTTTATATGTAGATTGTTGAATCATTTCACTAAACAATCATAGGTTTAGTCTGTTTTAAAATTTTTAATTGTATATTTTTATATTATTCATCTATTATGTATTTGTGCATTGCTTATCTTGTCAACTTTATTTTGTTAATTAATGAAAATGATAGATTTTTATGTTAAAAAAATAAAAGGGGAAGCTGTCCACTTGAGGCAGGTCTGCATATTCTTTAAAGCATCTGCCAGCAGAATACGTGAAGAATGCTTTGACTCCTTGCTAAGAAAACAAACCAAGTACAGAACGGTCAGAATATTTGAAGGGACGTCACCAAAGAAGACATAGAGCAGGAAGTAAGCCCACGTAAAGATGCGCACAGCCACGCATTATGATATTAATTCAAACCACAGCAAGGTACCACTATGCCCATGAGGTTATATTGGACTGAAAAGACCAAGAATACCAGTAAAGGTGAGGAGCCATTGAACTCTCACGCACAGCAGGTGAGACTGCAAAATGGTATAGTCTCTCTGGAAAACATTTCTTTCATAAAGTTAAGCATACAGTGAACTTGAAACCCAGTAATTCCACTTCTAGTATTTACTCAAGAGAATAAAAACATATGTCTATATACAGACCTGTAGGTGAATGTCCATAGCACCTTCATTGATAATAACCCCAAACTGGAAAGAACCCAAATCACCATCAGTTGGTGAATGGTATAAAAAAAATGGGGTATGTCCATACAATGGAATACTACTGAGCAGTGAAAAGGAATGAACTAATTCATGCAATGACATGAATACATCACAAAAGAAGTTTGTTAACTGAAAGAAGCAAGGCTCTTTGCATGTCTGTTTACATGACATTCTAGAAGCAAAATTATCTGGATAGAAAGCAGATCTGTGGTTGCCTGGAACCATGGGGTAGAGGGAGGAGAGTGACTGCACAGGGCCTGGAAGAGTCCTATGGGGCAATGGAAATGTTCTCTAGCATGACAGCAATGCTGGTCACTGTCATGACTCATCAAATTGTATGTCTGAAAGTGGCAACATTTGGTGTTACAGTTTAGGTATTGAATGTCCCCCCAAAGATTGTTCCCCAGGGTGGTGTTATTGAGAGGTGTGGGACATTTGAGAGGTGGGGTCTGGTGAGAGGTTCTCAGGTCACTGGGGAAGGTACCCTTTAAGGGAATCATGGAACCCCACTCTCTCAGTCTCTCTGTACTATCTGGCTAATGATGTAAGTGCTTGCTCTGCCACATGCTCATGCTATAGTGTGCCTGCCACCCTCATCACAGGCCCAAGGCAATGAGGTTGCTCCATTTTGGACTGGAACTTCCAGAATCATGAGCCCCACAAATAACCCTTTTTGCTTTATAAGTGGCTTACCTCAGGTATTTTGTTATCATGATGTGAAGCTGGCTAATACATGCTGCATGCAAAATATACTTCAATAAAACTGACCTGAAATGGCAAAATAAAGCATTGAGCCCATGATGAAGGATATACCTCTACTGACGAGAGTAATTAAATACGTTTAATGGTTATTTAATGGGTATTTAAATGTCCACAGACATTTGTCTCATTTTCTAGGCTAGGAAACGGATGCTCAAAGACATGAAGCCAATTCCCGCAGCTACCCCACTGGGAAAGGCCAGAGCCGGGTTTGGAACCAGAATTTTCTTTCTGCAGGACCCACACCTGAGACCAACCCGGCTGCCAGCCTAGGACTTGAGAATGAGGTCAATTGCTGGGGAAAGACGCGATCCTACCACCTGAGGGGCCCCTCGCGTCTCTTGGGGAATTAGCTAACAATTACCGGGTGGTGCATTTAATTAGGTGGAAGGCTGCCTGGGATAACAGTCATTAGCACTTAAACATCGGTCCTGCACATCGGAGGACTTTAAACGCATGTTTCTTAATGAAGCATTTTGTGCAGGGAGGTGAGGGAAGGGGGCGTGGCCACTTCCCAGGACCCCCCCCCAGGTGAGGAGGTGGGCGTGGCTTTCCTGGGTCCATGTCCTACGAGCCTCAGGTCAGGGCCCAGCGGCCTCAGTTCAGTCATTAACTAGAGAAAGGGCTGATGGTTCTCTGGATCTTTATTTTGACAACTGGGAAAGGAGGTGTGACATCCGCTGTGCCTTTGGACAGGGACCTTCTCCTCCCTGGGGCTTTGTCTCCCTCAGGGGGTTGGTGTGGGTAATTCCAAGTCCTGCATAGACCCCCTAGTAGGACCACTGCCCACTCCAGGTCCTTAGGGGGATGGGAAGGGGACAGAGGGTCCCTCGAACCTGGGGGGCGAGGGTCCTGCAGAGAAGCAGAGCAGCTTTGGATCCAGAGCAGAGGGAGCTGCGGCCACGCGGAAGGAGGGGCTAGGGGAGTGTCCTCCTGTCCTCCACTAATTGCCGGCTCTCCCCTCTGCTTAAACCCGGGAAGGGTCCTCAGGTCCGTCTCCTGGACCCAGCACAGACAGGGGAAGCAGGAGATGGCACCCAGAGGGGCATCTGGATTTCACCCAGAAGCACCTTCTGGAACCCGGCCACCCCGTCCCCATCCCCTCCACTCTACTCCCCGTGGCCACCCGGGGAGCACTTTGAAGCAAAGTCGAATCAAAGGTGAGCCCAAGAGCCAGGTTCCAGCTGGGTGGCTCCATTGCCCCCACACTGCTGCCCACCCCATCGACCAACATGACAGGTGGCATGGCTCAGAGATGCCACACTGTCACCTTGCATCCCGCATACTGCTTCTGCCATGAGATGTTGACAGTCCTCATCAGGAGACAGTCTGTGACACTGTGGCTTCAAGAGGCCAGGTCTTAAGGAGCACCTGCCTTTCTCTGTTGGGAGATGTGCGTTGGGAGTTCTGACCACCAGCAGGAAGTACTGTTCTGAAGCTTCCATGCTGGACAGACCACAGGGGAGACTGAGGTAGAGAGAGCCTCTATGTTCCAGCTCCCTGATGTGTTTAGGGGGCATTTAGGAGGTTCCGGCTGCCAGCCAGTGCCCAGTGGAACAGAGATGAGCTGTTCAGTGCCATAAGCCAATCATACATGGCCCTATGGCCACACTGCCTGAGTGTGAAGCCCGTTCCTGTCATGCACGCTGAGGGTAACTTTTGGGTAAGTGACTTCACCACCTTGACCCTCAGTTTCTTCATCTAGAATTTCATCTTAGATCATCTAAGAAAAGTATCTGATAGAATGCCTGTTCTTGATTAATAGCAACTGTTCTTTATTCACGATAGCCATTCGTTTTCCTCTAAGCAAATTCTTTGCGTTATCAGGGCCCCGATCTCTCCCTGTAAAAAAAAAAGTGTAATTTACAAGGTTCTGATTTTCTAGTTTTGGAAATATTTTATGTGCTCATCTGCTTGGGGATAGAGGATTAGACCCCAGACCACTCAAGTCCCCCCTCAAAGCTGTACTATTTGCCCTTGTGCTATTTATTTGCAAATTAGAGACACTGTAGTCTTCCAAAAGCATCACAATATGTCAACCTGCATGACTGGGGGCTAATGGCATCTTGGAGAGTTCTGCAGGGCACAACTGTACCATGATAGATGGAGAACCTGTCTCCTAGATAAAAGATCCACAGAGCCCTGTCCACGTGAACCTGAGACAGCTACAGAATCCTAGGGCAGAAACCATCACCCTCCTCCTCTGATGCTTTGTCTTTCTCTTTGAGAAACCGGGGACTGTCCCCACCCCATCAGCTGGGCCGTCTGTCCACTCATTGCCATCAGCAGGAT